CGCTCTTCAAGCCGGACGAATTTGAAAACGCTGGCTTTTCAAAAACAAATCCAAATGACCGGTGATTGTTGCGTTTTTAAATTCCCCTGGCGTAGTGTGGACGACAAACAGTTGATGCGTTTTCAAAGTGAAACCTCTGTTTTCAGATTCCTCCAGCGTAGTGTGGACGGGAGCCTTAGGTGGTGGATTATCGAAACAATGAACCTTTCGTGTTATTGCTTTTTCTGTGTTTTTTTTGTTTTTTGTTTTAGCTTATTAGTGCCTCGTAGGACTCTCTTAAAGCCAATCTACCGATTTCACGAACTCACAACAGCCTGAAAAAAGAAAAAGAAATCAAAAGATTTGTTGTGCCTCTTTCCTGACTCTCAAGTTTTTAATTATTATAATTACGGTCATCCAACTAGTTTAGCTTTTTAGTTATTTTGGGTGTCCCACTACTGTATGTACTGTACTGTTCATTTACTTATTTATAATTATAATCTTGTAAATTCTTTTAGTTGTTTATAGTAGTAGAAAATAAACTGTTAAAAGAAGAAAAATTTGTTGCTCAGTGATCCGTATAAAAAGAACATACAAAAAATATGAAAGGCTGGTCTCTTGGAACGAAATAAATACAAAACACATCAAACACACCCAGACACATCAATCAGGCGGATGAGATGGTTATAACATATAGGGGCCATATTGATCATGGTGGGGGGGGGGCTTATTTTAGGGGGGATACGAGGGGATATTATTATTGGAATTTCACGCGGTGTTGTAACGCCAAATGTACTTTGATGACGTTGTATGAAAATGGCTTTACCTTCTTGCTAAATAAGCACCATCGCCTTGAGAATCGCTTCTTATTCGGTTGGTAGGATTGCCGCTACAGATCTGTGCAAAACATTTACTTCTGCTTGCACCTAGAGGTCCAAGAGCAGAACTCAATTAGTTAGAGAAATATTGCGGATCAGAAGTTATGACTCATTTTACTCAGCTCTTAATGGATTTCTTGCAATTTGTGAGAAGTTTATTGTGTAACAATCAACTACGAACTTTAATGCAAAATGTTATTATAGCCTGCTTATATTAGCCAAAAATGCTCAAGCCGAAGGACGCAACAACTGATCGAGGCCGCGAAAATTGCACGGATCACCTTCTGATACAAATACAGGTAGAAGGCACATACCGAGGGGAAAAAGTTGTTCTTAAAGCAATTATTAAAGTGCCCCTAACCCCCAAAATTGTTTTTCGCTAAAACGAATCCACTTGTTACTTGAAGCATTTGGGCGAAACAATTTTTGAATTTGGTTGAATCCTTGATTTTTTATGCCCTTTCAAAGTCGTGCTTGAAGTGTTGCACGACCGCGTTTAAGGGAGTCTGGGCGGCGGTTGCCGATGACGTCTACCCAGGAACTAAACACAATGGCGCCTCAGTCAGCTCTCTGTATTTGCTCGAGAAAATGGAAAACAAAACTAATCGTTCCAATATATTTTGGGACTAAAACGGCCACGTTTTGTTTCAGAATCATTTCTTTTTCGTCACTGGAGTCAGAGTTAAGTTTCGATTCGGAAGAATCCGAAATAAACTTCGATCGAGCACGTTCGACAACTGTGAACTCACTGCTTAGGCCCGGTTTAAACGTCGCATTTTACTTGCGCCGAATCAAATGCTAATTTTAGTCGACTCGAATGAATAAGTTTGGCTGATTTGATTTAAACGTTGCATTTTTTTGCCGAATAAAATTGCTGGGCGCGAGCGATAGCGACGTGTTAATTCCCATTCGAGCAAACATAATAATTTCTTTAACATAATTTATTTAACACAATTTATGAATTAGATTCGGCACATGTAAAATGCGGCGTTTAAATCAACTGTCCAACTTTAGTCGTATATTCGACTGGATCAGTCGAATATTTGACTGAACTCGCATTTCATTGAAATATGTCGCATTTAATTGATTTAAACGTTGCATTTTACATGCACTTAATTCGGCAATTCGATTCGGCGCGTGTAAAATGCGACGTTTAAACCGGGCCTTAGAGCTTTGAGAACAATATGCAATATTTCAAGCGACGACGGCGAAGACTTCTTTGCGGACGAGCTGTTTGTATATTAGAAATGGAAAGCTAGATACGAAGTGGAAGAACAGGCAAACGAAAAGCAGTAAAGAAAACTCAAGGACTGCTTTGGATGGTAATTTCGTCACCTAAACACAAGATTCCCACGCGTGGTTATAGCCCGTTTACATTTGTCCTTAGCGAGAATGTATTTTGTCAAGGTATGGTTGTTCTATTAAATCCAATTTGTGTTTTACTTTCTGGAATGCTTCATGTT